ATATACTTGTTAGGTTATAACATAATTTCAAAATAAATTCTGTTACGTAAAGAATATAATCGTCAAAACAGCTGTTTTGTTACTATAATTCCAGTGAAGCGCCGCGGGCCGGATTATATTGCTCCGCGGGCCGTAGGTTGCCGACCCCTGATCTACGTCATCTTCCAAATCAAGAAATAGAAAACTGATAGAGTTAGTAACAAATAGGTTGAAGGAAGAAAAGCAATTAGCGCTACGCGAAACAGACTTAGCAGGGAAAACGACAGACTAGAATTGGAAAAACGAAAGATATAGATTGAACGCAAAGCTTTAGAGAGGTCTGCACAAATTGCAGAACTTGCCATTGAAATTGAATCCAGCGTGGACAGTACTTCTGTACGTTCATTTTGAAGTGGCGTGAGTCAGCGAACACTTCCACCAAAAGAAATGCAAAAGTATTCGACGAACGTTCCAGTACGTTCAAGGTCTGCGTCCAATTGGTTTGAAATGAGTGATGAACAAAAAGGAGTTTCCCCACCCAAAATATTGACCAAAGTTAATTCTGGGTTGTCTGCTACCTTACCTATCATAAATTCTGAAGTGGATACTAACTAGAAGATTGGGTAACAGGGCAGTATCAAGTGCGCCACAACCAGCTGGTACTGTACTCAATAATCGACCTCATCCACTAAATGACTTTCGGACAAAATCATCGGGCTTGATATTACCTACTACTATTCTTGAGGAATCAGTACGATATGCCTCTTGTTAAAACTGTACCCAGAATTATGTCAACTCTAGCAGAATCATTTCATCCAACAAATCATACATTGTCATCACAACCTGATCGCCCTAGTGTCTGTCTATACGGTGCCGGCAACATATCAAGGTAATGTGCAAAGTCAAGTCAATTAAGTTGGTCATTATCTACGTGGTATTAATGCTCTCATTTATTAAGAATTTATACTTCCAAAACGACAATTGGAGCATTTTGATGGTTCGTCTTTGGATTATTTTCGAATTGTCAAAACGTTTGATGAGAATATATTGACTCAGGTGCCTGATCCATCTCTTCAATTCAATTCAATATGTGCACAGGTCAGGCACACAAGATTATTCGATCTTACGAAAATCCTGCTGAAGGCTTGGGTCTTCTTGAAACTCGATTTGGTCAACGTCATATTGCTGCCGAAGCTCACTTGGATGCTGTTACGAAGGCCCTCAAATTCAGGAAGATACAGAGAGCCTCAGCGACTTCACAACGGAGATGCTAATTGTCAAATCATCCTAGAGCAATGAGGATGTGCAAAGTGCAAGTGATCTCAATTCATCCAGCGTCATTCTTGATGTTTTCCGTAGACTACCGATACATCTTGAGGTAAAATTTCATGATTGGGTGAGTGAAAGATCAAATTATCATTTCACTACATTTCAGGAGCTATTTTATTTTCTCGAAGAGAAAATTACTGTTGCAAATGACACAATGGGTAGGATAATTGCAGAAAAACGATTTGGCAATTCTAATACAAAACCCAGGAAACCACAGAGGGTATTTTCCACACAAACTAACTTGAATACGACTCACTCAGCCCAAATTCATTGCCAATAAACAGAAGTGTATATGTTGCTCTTTGAATCACCCAATGTGGAAATGTATTGGTTTTCACGATAAGCCAGTTTCAGAGAAGTGGGACGTGGTAAAAAGGGAAGTACTGTGTTTTAACTGTTTAAGTATGGGACAAATACAAACATTGCGGTAAACCTCATCATACATTACATAGAAATGTCACTAAGTCTCAAACTCAGTCGTCACACGTTGATGCAAAAATGGAAAAGTCGAAAGTTGAATCGAGTATTCCTACAAATAATGACGTGAAACGTTATAGTCATATGCTGGGCTTGAGTTTCCCACCCATAGGAATATGAATTCAATATAAGATTCAAATTAATTAGAATTGTTTGACAGTGTGGAATGGAGAGGGATTTTCCAAGGTTCAACTTAGAAAGTATCCAGGTTTTGCTGTTTGCGCCAAGCACAAGGTTTGGTGTCTACAGTAGGCCAAAGTCGAAATCTTAAATCTCCAACAGTGTGGAAAAGGATTAAACTGTTTTTGTGCTTTCAGCATACCACATATGGAACGCATTTGCAAAACAAATATAGCATCGAACACCGCATTCCGATGATTTGGAACTCCACAATCTATGATATATAATTGTTGAAGATTGGACACGCGTTGCTGACACTTTGAATAAAAGCCCAGAAGAGGTATGATGAGTTATAAAACTACAATTTGTACTACAATTCACACTATTTCAGGATTCGTCAATTGATCAGTACAAAAATGGTGACAAAATATTGCACGGACTCGTGCTGGAGAACTTTCGAGCAGAGCGATGTTGGGATTAATGTATGGAAAGAATGAATTTTATTGAAACACGTAGAGCTGCAGAAAAATTCAACAAAAATATTGGGTGAAATAATTAGTAATATGCTACAATTTGAGCTTGATCCAAAATCTGGAGGTTTATTTCGGCCTGGCAATAAAGTTTAACTTAACTCCAACCAAACCAGTGATCGAATTATCAAATTCAGATTGTTGGAATTGGAGTTTTATGAATATAAATCAAATCAGAATATATGTCATATAATGCGGTTGTCATGTAATAGGTAAATTAAACTAGGAATCATAATCCCGAGGTCTGGCAGTTTATAAATTCACGACAAAATAACTCACATCTTTGGAGTTTTATAGGATATGAAGACGAAGTTATATTATACGGTTGCAGATGGAAGAAAAGATTCATTGCATGTGTTTTCCACAGATTGTATCTAAGCAATGACAATTACCTGTATGCTACTTTATGTGCTAATTTGTCATTAAAACAAGCACAATTTTTTCTTAATTGGCTTGTCCTATATGTATTTCTCAAATTAAATAGAAAAAAATTGACTGGAGTGATCTTGCTTAATTTTTTGTGACGTTTTGTTTTTGCATTTTATTTCAGCATCATATCGTGTCGCATTTGTTCTAAATATTTCGCGTGATGACACGCAGAGAAACATCGCTGGACGTGAATGACTTTTTATATTACGTGATACACTCAATTTATTCTACTTGCTTAATCATACGTAAAAAATAATACGATTACAGCAACATCAACGCATTTGATGAATACTGAACAATGAAATCTATATATTGATAATTTTTTATCAGTAGTTTTCAGGCTACCATATGTAAGCACAAAATTTTGTGTGAGAAGGTCATATTTACGGCAAGAATCAGTTACACTCTATGTCAAATTACGTAGTTTTCATGCGTGATAAGCGCTAGCTAATCTGACATTCTTGTCGTTCTTATCTTAGAAATATTTTTAATTCGACATTTTTGATTTTACGTCAGTTAGTCCTTTGATAAAATTCTTCATAAACCATCGACTATTGTTAATTAAAATATAATTTATTATTAAAAGTATCATGAATCACTACAGTTCGTTACGTTTTCTTGCTGGAATGAAGGCATGGTAACATTCCGCGCATAAATTGTGAGGACATTTCGATAATGTCTGATTGGTCTCGTCGCAGTGTAAGCTGTAAAGACAACTGTGGTTTATAAGCACAGAAAATGTTGTATTGTGCGTGCGAGTCAAAAAAAGGCACACTTCATCCGGATTTAACGCGATTGAAACTAACTAACCGAGTCCCCATCGCAGATGATACCGATGTTCGAATTTTTCTGTAGCACCTATGCAGTTGTATAACCCCGTTGGATAAGTTGGTCACTTTAAACTGCCTATCTATACCAATATAATAATTGCTCCGCAGATACCTTATGCCGGTCTTGGACGCAAAGTGGACCTATTTGTAACATTAAGATGTCCGTCTCTCGTCACAAATGGCAGTGAAAATGGATGCTAATTATCATAGGCGCAAATGTACCTACAGGCAATATGCACAGATGCAAATATAAAGGTGTGTCATTAGTATTATTATTCTGTTTGCAGTGTGCCACACTTTGGACTCCTTCGTTTATATCCTGCCATTATCACATTATTGTACTCATGTTGTAATCACTGATTATTGCCAAGCAACAATGGATTGCATTTGTCTCACTGCTTTAGTTACCAGCTGTTACAAGTATTAGGCGGTGGCTCGATTAAGTTTGGCTATACTCAGTGACTCTATCTGATTATGTTGCATAATCTTGTGTTTGGGTTAACATGTTTTTATAGTTTTTAGAGCCATGATTTCGGTTATAATAAATAAACTGTCACAAAAAGGTTCAAAAGTCCGCCGGTGCAAGTGTACCGGTCCGAGAGACAAATTTGAAAAATATAAATAGCCCTAACTTCTTCAAGTATATATAAACTGAAATTTTGAAATCGAATAGCAAGGAGCATTCATCTTCTGAAGTCTAAATAACCATAACTAAGCCATATCCAAATTCGTTCTTGGTTGTGATTCTTAATATAAATCTTATGAAGCGATATCGTGGAAATTTTAAGACATGAAATGTCTTTACCCCTTGAAATATGGCCATTGTGTATCTCTCCATTGTGTCTATCCATTGTGTATGTGCGGCGCGGCGGTGTGGCTCAACGGGCTGAGCGTTAGGAATACGCTCGCCACCGCACCTCTAATTACTCTGCGTGGGTTCGCAGGTTCGAACCCATGCAGGGATGGTTATGTGCGAGAGGATTGCTGGACTCCTCGCCGTCGTTGGGTGGTTCACGTAACCGCTGGTCGGTTACGGCTTCCTCCACCACCAAGTCCATGCCTCCGAAAACAAACAATATAACTAATCCCATACCCGACTTGGAATGGAAACCGGACGGGAGGCCGTGGTTCGCCATATGGATAAGCCGTCTTATCGGCTTTCCTCTCCCCCGGGATAGATATGTAAATCCTATCCTATTCTATATGCAGTTAGTTTCCACCCTTACTTCGAAAGTTATCTACCAGCTTACAAAATACAACGCCAAGAGTTTCATTTAGGTTATTTGTGAATGAAACAGAACCAAATTGCAAATTAAGTAAGTAATATATTATAACAGCAATTTTTAGATATATATATATATATATATAATTATGAATTATTAAACACTTAATTTAAACGTCAATTGCAATTATTACAATGCAGTTAATAACATAAAAATATTATGAACAATTTTTGATAATTTTTAGAAAAAATTAAATTTATGCACGGACTGCCCATGGTTGTAACCCGTTCTCACTTTCAGAAGGCTTTGCCTGTTGAATGTAAAAAGTAGCATTGGTATGTGTAATATCATGATTTTCCGTAAAACGACAATAATAATTTAAGTCAATTTATATTTTAATTTTGCATATCGATACTAGCTTGATACCCCCATGTCAATGACGACAGAAATTAAAGAAGAAGATGTGTTTGTATCATAAATATCAAATTTGCCAGTTCATTTGAAATCCAAATACTGCACTTTTCCAGCTAGATTTCTATTAAAGGTCCATTTTGAAACGTTTCCACAATCAGCATTACCGGGAAAACATGATGTTATTGCTTTTACATATGACCAAGACAATCCGCCCCAAAATGTAACACATAATTTAATGCTATATTTGTATGTTTATGACGCGGAAACGCAAAACATAAATTAATAACGTCCGTACAAAATGGATTACCTTGCTAGCAAAGTCATCTTCACATGCTATTCTGATTCTTTCAGCAGTTGCTGGACTATCGAGTCGAAAAGGACCAGTTATTCCAGCATCTGATCGCGCAGATTTGATTGCATCTTTTATGGCAAATAAGACCGACGCTGCCAAGAACAATGGTGGTTCACCAACAGCCTAATGAAGGTAAGAAAATTTATCCGGATTATTTCAATAGATAAAATCCGATAACGCTTTTTTGAGATTGAAATGAAGATGCATAAAGACTGTGTGTATTGTATGCCGATTTGATTTAAATTAAGTTGGACAATTCAAATCACATTTCAGTGAACAAATCCCTCTCAGTAATAATCGTCACTTTTACAATGTGAATCGGAACGTATTTTCCGCATCGAATGTATAAAATTTATCGACATTGGAAAATAATTAGAACGTATTATGAAGGTAAGTGGGTAATAAATAGTCTAATATACCATGGTGATCCATGGTGATTCGCAAACAACCCGATTTGTCATTAGCTTTGTAATTGCGTAGTGCTATAACTTAAGGATATTTACTAGATAGACAAAAAATAAATAGAGATGTGCCTTCGATGCTGAAGCTTACCTTTGAACAATATATCGCCTTTTCATTGGGACAATTTCGCAATAGATGAACATGGAAATGTTTCGGAGTGTTAGCAAATGCTGGGATTTTGTAGGCTCCTGGACCTATAGTCCATAAATGCCCTGACGGTGAATGAAGCATTTCTTCTAAAGTCATCATTCCGTATCCTTGAGCAAAAGCACCTTCAATCTGGAAAATATACGGATGTTCGCATTTCAGCATATTTTATGGTGAAGAACCAATTTTCAGGGGATCAACATGTTTGCGCATAGACTGGTGACAAAAAACAATTTTGTAGTATATATGTATACTTTGAAGACCTTACTTGAACAGTACAAGTTTTGTTCCATTGAAATAAGGACCTTAATTTCTGAGTTAGTCACCTCATTCAAACCCCCAAAATCCACCTTCATTAATTCCATTCGCGGCATTAGCCAAGTTTCATTTGAGCAAACATATTGCAAGATCGGAAATTCCAAGTAACACCAGCGGTCGAAATGATAAAATCAGACAGTGCACCAAAATGCTCGAATAATTATTGCGCTTATCCCAGTGGTCCCCAACCCTTTTGACACGTTTCTTCCCTTTCTTATTTTTAAGCTTCGAATTCCCCCTACTACGTAAAAAACTCTATTTGGATTTGCTATTCAATCTTTAACGGAACATTTACGATACGTGCATTTTGTACTCCAGATTCTGTACAATTAGAATATTTCATAATACATCACAATAATATTAAATAAGTACGAAATATTAGTGATACTACACGCAAATACAAAGTAAAATTGTCATCTCAAATAATCAAAATTCGTCCCTGCGGAGGAATTCGTCTTCAGTTGGGAAACGTTGACTTATCCGATCATTACCTGTCCGATATCAATTGCTGGATTCAAGCTATTTCCCACATCAACAACAAGATCAGTTCTTAGCACAGCGTGATGTCCAGTTAATACATCGATTTCTATCTGAGAAACTGCTGCTCCGTAGGCTATATAGCTAAACATATCTCCCTTAACATCCCCGGTTTGGCAATCCCATACATTAGTTAGGCCTGGAACCCTTTGAATACAGAATAAATTTAACATAAATCCTCCGAATCGAATACTTCCTAACTACCGGTAATTACGAAATAAGTGAATGTTTACAGTTATTAAAAAAGAATGACGTGCCACTTCGATCTCAGTGTCATAAAACTACTTTGCTTATTGATCTCACTTGCTTAACATAATCTCAATCGCATGAAGCTATTCTTATATAATTCCGTTCCTAACCCTAACTAAAATCAGTGAAATCACACAACTGTATACCAAAGTGGCACCGAAAAGAATGTTTGTGGCAATACAAACTTGTAAAATCCAGTAGCGGAAAGACTGATTCGCTTCAAATAGGCTTTCTCTATTAGTTCCTCCCATCCAATATTTGGATTCGATTTTCTGAGCGGTTCCATCCTTTTCATGATTTTTTCACATGCTTCCTAAAATTGAGATTTCCCATTGCTTAGTAAAATTTTTAGTTTTTGTTAGTATGTTGCATTGTTTGTTCTAATTGTTTTCATTCTTTGCACGTTCACGCCAATCGAAATATCTTACCATTAACAGGAAGTGTCTCATACATATATAGATAATGATTAAAATAAACGTATCTGTACGATTCATTACAGTACACCTTGCTTCGGAGATAGAGGGTATCATATGCCATTCCTTGAGTCAACGCCGAGGTCATCCCATCAATTTTACGTATTCATCCTCACTAGTGTACCGAGGGGATTCCCCACCCTCGCGACAAGAATCAGGCCAAGTTCTCTGATACCATGACGTTATATTACAGCTTTGTGCTTAACTTATTTTTAAATTCTTGTTATTACCATGTATACATATTTATAACTGCAATTTTGTATTTGCGTAAATTTTTAAATTTATAACGCCATAATATATTTTACGGAAACGTGGTAAATGCATTATGTCTTCAAAATGAATTTTCCTCGACGTCGAATTATGACGTCACAGTGAATTTTCCTCTCGTTATTCGAATACAAAACATGACATCAAAAATTTCCAATTTTTTAAAGCTTTTTCCTGTCAACAAAATCTGTGCACGCTACTGGTTACACTGGTATTTTCCACCAAAAATTTACCTGAACTCTATTTTAAAGGGATGCTTTGAACAAGATGCTATAGAGCTGATTTAACTACACGTGTCATAAATTAAATAATGAATATTTAGGCTAGAACTCCTTGAACCAATTTGAAAATATGAAACAAAACGTACCAAATTATACGAAAGAGGGATTTGCAGATGTATCCATTTATAAAGGACGAACGCATCTCTGTTTGTAATTAATATTTAGTAACCGAGACATACAAATCGTTACCTTAACAGCCATGCCGTGCAAGTCGCTCGAAGAGCTTGCTGCGGTAGCTGATGCATTTGGTACAGATGATGTTGAACATTCGGAAATGTGGATCATGTCTACAGACACTCCCAAAGCTCTACTTGCCACCTAAAGAACATATTATGACAACTTAGTAAATAGTGGATGGATCATGGCGGCGTGCCGAACTTGAAGTAATTCGTATGCATTCACATGGCATTACATTTTCACCTTGTGAAAAATTGACTAGAATGCAGTACTGAGTTTCGGAATAATTGAAATGAGATGCTTAGGTAACAACGTTCCCCAACAAGTTGAAAAATTTATTGAAATCAACAATTTACAATATGGTTTCACCAAATCCATAGTTTCGAATTACCTGAACCATTTTAGTATCTAATCCTTGTCCCATTTCAGTTCCGCCATGTGACAACAAGACCGTTCCATCGGTGTATATTAGCACCAAAGCGCAACCTTGATTCAAATGTTTAGGACCAAATCCAACAGCATATGTTGATGGAATGCAAGCAATTCCTCGTTTTTTCCACCTGAAATGAGATACTGGCGTATGCATATAACTTGTGTTTATATATATATATATACTTCTCGTAATAAGAACATGCACGATATATGACATCATGTCATTCATTTAATTGGGTGGCTTAACAAGCCGCGTCTTTGAGCTAGTGGTCAATTACTTAACTCTGTAAACCCAATCATACTCTATGGTCAAAAACACTAATTTGGACAGGTGAGGACGTGTTGCACTAGTCTTTGTACTTGTGGGTTTCTGTGTATTCGAATTTTACCTTGAAGATTTATTGAAGTCCCGAATTTCCTTTCGAACAACGTGAAAGTTCGACTTTTCAAGACATTCATCCCAGCATCGTTTTGCTTGGAAATTTTGAAGTAAAGTTCCGTGCAAAATTCGATCGCCATCTTTGTACATGTTCAATTCACGAACCTGTACAGAAGTAACATGTACGGCGACTTCTTAAATTGATCTACTATTTTTTACTCCCTTTCTACTATTATGAAGCAATATATCAAATATCTTACCTTTTCTGAATCCATATTTAAAGTTTCTGCAACCTTCGTTATCCAAGCTTCAGATATGATCATTGCTTGAGGGCTGCCAAATCCTCGGAACGCAGTATTTGATGCAACGTTGGTCTGACATACACTTCCTGTCACTTCCATATGAGGCACACTGCAGGTATAAAAAGTATTATTCAATCGTGTGTTTATTCATCAAATTAGTGATGGTATTCAGTTAATTATAATACTTCAGTTCTCAGTAGTTTATTATCCATAATGGTATCAGTTATTTTTTTACTTCATTGAAGCCATTCTTACACCGATATATTTACTAGATCTATTGCTAAGAGTTCTAAGTAAAACTACATTCCTTCACGTTATTTGCCATTCTCCCCAAAATTTAGTTAGTCGTTTATCTACATTGTATGAAACCTGTTTGATTGGCTCTACAATTTCGGCAACCTATCCAAATAAAATTATTTTGTAGAATATTACTTATAGCTGTTATCAGCATGCACGATTGCCCGATCCATCACCCCAAACGACAAATCATCTGAATTTCCACCGTTACTATACAGTTTTATCTGCAGTGCCTTGATTTGACCATCTTTATTGAATCCGATCTAAATAAAATTCCCATGTTCAGAAATATAGGTAAAAAGTTGATTGTAAAAATTTTAGTGCTATATCATTTACCTTATATCTACCCAAAAATGGATGTCTACCGCCGGTGATTTGCATATCTTGTTGTCTGGTTAACACGCATCTTATTGGCTTTCCCAATCTAGATATGAAATCATTGAAATTACCTGCACCATTGCATATGAGCAAGAGTACACATATGACCATAACTGCACTGTCATGAATTGGGAAAGGAAAAGAAATCTAAAATCAACATAATTATTCTAAGTTTGTATTTTTTCGTATTCTGTTAGAATTCAATGGCACAATAAGTCGGCAATTACTCACTTTCTTGCTGCTATAACTGCGGGATTTGATATGACACAAAATCGGGTTTCTTTTCCTCCAAATCCTCCACCTAGTCGCTTCGTGCGAACGATAACTTTATTTCTCTTCAGTCCTAGGCAAGTCGCAGCCTGCAAAAGACAATTGTTCAATCGGTGATATATGGTCATTCACTAACTTGAATTCAAATGTAATAAACATGGAATACAGGTGGGCACTGTGAGCTTTGCTTCAATAGTTGCAAACTTGCAAGCGCGCGAAATCAGAGCGTAATCTTAGAGTCATTATGGGTAGTGGAATAATAGACAGATACTTGAATTTATGGGAAAGCAAACCCCGAGTACAGCAAAACAATAGAGAAAAAGTCAATACAGCAAGGACATAACTCTGTGCAATAACAAGATGTATTTGGCGTTTGAAGTTGATTTAGCGAACCAAGATAAGCAGTTTAAAAACATGAGTGAGCATACCATAGTTTGCAATCCGTTTGGATATTGGCACGAACTAAATACTTCCATTTCTCCATCTTCATTTTTTGGAATAGCAATACAACATTGAGTCTCCATATAGAAATGTTCTTGTCCACCAACTCTAAAAAATAAAAATATGTTTACTCTATTACACAAGAAAGAATAAAGGTAAAAGTAAAAGTGTTTTCTACAGTCCAACCTTGCTTCATCTTCGACGACAAAATCACATTTTTTGAAACCTTCCTCAGCATTTCCTCTTTTAATTTTTTTTACAATTGACAATTTGTCGTGTTTAATAGCATCCTGTAGACATGGAGAAGTAAAAGATATTCCGTAAAAATAAAAACTTCGAAGTCGAACTTTGGATGTCTGTATGAAAACTACAAAGGCATTACCTCTATGGTAATAACTCTTGGTAATATATCTTCGTAAGTTATTTTCACCAATCGACTTGCTTTGATTGCGTTTGCCTGAGTGTCGGCTACAATGGCTCCAATAACGTGCCCAACACATGTTACCTGTGAATAGATGAGTTAGTGATAATGCATAATACAAGCTATAAAAACAAGAAGTAAATTAAGTGGCAGTTTGTATGTTTTGAATATCTTAATATTACCAACTACCTTTCCATTCGCAAACACTTCGCCGTACATGCCAAGGTCATTTTCACCGATGACATCATTCTTGTCAACATACGAAACCACTCCTGGACATTCAAGTGCCACAGTTGGATCAACATCGATAATTTTTGCATGGGCTCTCGTGCTGCAGACTAATACCATCTGCAATTCATCTAAAAAAAAATCAAAACTTTACATTATGAATTTAGCACATGCTATGAAATTGCAATTGCGAACACTGCATTAACCTTAATTGGAGACACAATGGCATACCATAATTTTGTATTTGAACAATATATATATTCTAATTCTTCCGTCGATAATAACAGCGCTAGGAATTTAAAATCGAAAAAAATAAGACCTCTGTAAGGTGGTATATCATCAATATATATTGCTTCTCCAGTTGTATGCTTGAATCCAGATAGATGAGGAATCGGACGACCAATGGTATCGATTGGTTTTTGATCTTCAGGCACCTAAAAATAACGAATGTGATGAACAGCCTACTACTACTACAAACCTAAAGTGATGAAAATATTACCTCCTGCCATGTTTGTGTGCTTGTAAATGATTCTTCTTCGACCGATAAATCGGAAATGATTTCTCGACTGATTGCGATGTTGTTTTTCTGTAATGCGATAGTTTATTAACTAGTTTAATTAATGTGGAGTATGCTTGTTTGACAGGGATAGGGGCAATATTTTATCACGCATTGAAGAATTAATTTAAGTGATTACAAAAGGCTTTAAAGCTAAAAGCAGCGAGTTTAGTTATTTCTGCTATCATATGTGACCCATCTGAATGGAACGCATTCTCAAATTGTATATTGAACTGTATATAAAACTTCGGTTGTTCCCAACCGCTGGTCCGGGGATCGGTGCGGAAATTTTATTCCAAATTGTCTGGCCTGTTCGTCAAGTATTTACAACAAGTATTCCAACGAATAAGAATACTGCTTTTTTCAAATTATGCACTGAATACTGATTAAGATTTATTTAATTGATATTTAACTTTTAATATTCAAAGCATGTTTGGTATAGCAAGTAAACTCGAATTTCATTTAAATAAAAACAAAGACTGATTCAAAGTTTATTATTTTAAGTCACTCAGTGTCGCGTGACAGTCCTCATAAATACCAAATTACATGTGAATGCCATAAAATGTGCATTGTTTTATATATACAGCAAAACAATATAGAGAGTATGAAATTGAAAAATATCAATGATGGGCTAACGGTGACATCAATCGACAAATGAGAGCAGTAATAATGACGCCATGTATATCATCTTACAGAAAAGTTTTTACATCGTCATATTGATATCGGGCCATTTTCATAATCTTTGATTTCGACCAAAGAAAAGATAACGACACATTCTTTCGACGAGCTGAAAATACCTTATTATTGCGTAAACTTATACACCGAAAGACTAAGGCGATTCAGTTGTGAAAACAACATTGGGTTGTGTTTATAAATTGTGTGTTAATCTAAACTCAAACATAATTTGTGACGTAATAGATTTCAATATTAAGTGAACTAACTTTTGAAATTCCTCTTTCAACCAAAATATTCATTGTATGATGATAAAATTTGAAGAAGAAGCTTGTCACCAGTGTACGGCGATACTGTACCATTCCTCCCGGTGCATCAAGTGACAATTTCATCTCTTCACTCAACCACGAGCAAACATCATTCAGTAAACTACCGTCCCAGGTTCTGTGTCAATTTGAGTATTTTTATATTCAGCAAGTAATACTGAATTATTGCAAGAAAAACTCCGGGGCGAATTATGATAAAAAGTGCTGTGATTGCAAAACGACGAAGTATCTAATATCATCACCTTCCAATTGTTTTTGACATTGTTTGTGTCGGAACTTTTGTTATTGCTGCCATTCCTCCGAAAGCTATCGATAGTTTTTTAACCGTTTTTGTTCCAGGTTCAAAAGCAACATGCATTGCTGAATTTACTATAGCTATGTCATCTTCTTTTCTCTTTGATTGCTTATACGCCTTCATGACGTCATTCTTGAGTTTGAAAAAGTAAATTAAAATGTGTTTAATAATTTATCACTAATCATATTGAATCACTATAATAAGAAACTGAATTTGCTATGTGGAGCAATGAAACTCGTCAACGGAAAAAATCTAATTCATTTAAATCCTTAATGTGAAATCATCATTAATGTAAAATCGTTAAGTACAACAATTTCGTTTCATTTAGACCTCCCAGATCAGGATTTATGTTAAAAGAGCATTTGAGTAAAAATCACATACTTCGGTTAGAAATGGAATTTTTATTGAAACCAAGATCTCATCTTTTCTCGTTTTCGTTTTTCTGTATCCGATAAAAAATGTTTCATCCATTTGAATTTCTCTCAAACCAGAACTTAATGAAGCAAAAGTTAGTTTTGCTCCAACCGCAAGTAAAATGGGATTGAGATCCGATATTGGACTTGCTGTCATGATGTTTCCACCGATGCACTGAAACATGGAGAAATCGAGATTAAGTGTGGTTTTCAGTTTTAGAAAATCACAGTCCGCCCTAGATTTTCCTATTATACTCACTCTGATCTGATTTTTAATTCATTTACACATTTGAACATATAAAATTATAAATATAACATGGGAATGAATAAGCATAATCGGAGATTTAATATGTCATTTTTCATCACATTGGTCCACGCATGACATATATAGACCAGTGATTTTCCCTCTTTTATGAATCGCGGAATTACTTCATAAATTCGTCGCGGAACCCAGATTAAAAATTTTAGAATTTCCGGAAATATTCGATTTAATTACCTAATACGAAAAGACCAGAAGGTCATCGGCTCGAGTTTGTAAAAGATGCCGATATAAATGAAAGTTTTTCAAACTCAGACGCTAAACAAAACGTTGTAATACCAAAGAGAAACATTTAAGACGGGCGATATCTGGCTAGAAATAGCTGTGATATTTCAATGCAATGTAATATTTGGGCTTGCTTCGGTGATCACAATTATTCTATTCTTCCAGAGTGACGAAATACAAACACACAGATCTTCTTCCACAGTTCTTAGTTTTTCACGGGGTCAAAGTTATTTTACAACTAAATACTTGATCTTTGGTTCTCAATTCGCATTATTTCACTTTCAATCATAAAACTTCAACCAGGATGAGGTGAAACAACAATTTGATGCGGACCACCTGGAGGGTCTTTCACACAACGCCAGTGTTTCGTGTAACATCGGTTGAAAATCAATTATATTTGCCATAACCGTAACATAAACGGTGGGGCAAAAGGTATTTTCATTCCCTTTTCTATCGGATGAAATCAACAATAAAAACTTGTGAATAACTAAACTTTTTAAAAAGCAATAACTTTTTAACAATTGATTCTTGTTTTAATATCTTACCAAGAATAAGTAAATATCTCGATTAATTTATGCGTAAGTGGTGGCAATAAAAAGATAATTGTCCATGTTGAAAATTATCTCACGTAAATAAGCTTACAATCATAACAACCTCTACATACCGCCACATTACGAATCTGCAATCCAGCAAATAGTTTTAACATTTCCAATATTGAGTAAAATATTTGAGTTTCTTCTTCAGTTTTGTCTTTGCGCAGAGATTCCAAAAATCCAGCAACATCTGAGAGGCGACACGATGCACCAATGCTAATGCCTGACAAAAAATCAGTTAACATTAAAAATAAGCGATTGAGTCAGCTTTCTGCTTCATTTCTAAGATGTAACCAGATAAGAAATGCAAAGGTTTATCATAGTTGATAATGCAATGAAGATTACCTTCGTCATCGAAGTTCATTTCGTTAAGTTCTTGTACATTTATTGGGCAAATGATATGCGGATAACAATGTCCTTTGATATTCATTTCTATCCCAACTTCTGTGTTTCCGACAACAATTCTGGCATCCGGAAAATGTTTTTTAAGTGACAACATTTCCTTCAAATTGATTGGCTGATGCCAAGTCACTCCCTCTCCCACGAATGTTAAAGATCGAGCTAAATTGTTTGTCTTGTTTGAGATCTGCAAATTGGGAACATCAAAACGATTCGTGGATTTCGCAAGTTATTGAAAGTATTCACGCCGGCTGTAATTTCAATTATTTCAAACCAAGTGCTATCAAGCAGTAATGTAGCGTATTCTTTATATTTATACTTACCATGAGTTCTGGGGGAAATATTGGTTCTTGTGAAGGGTCGTAAGGTAGCCATCCGTTCTGTTTGTTTTCTGATATATATGAATAAGTAAGCTGATCATTGTTTACATTTATCATTTTGCGGTATTGCTATAAAATCTTAACTACACTGTAAAAATACCAAGCATAGCATACCAATTTCATTCTCTTGACTGTTATGTGCATCTTTTTGAAATTTGCAGCATTTTTCACCCATTGGACAAGTAAAAGTTTTGAACGCTGAAAAAAATTGAAACATATTATAGGTTTACGACTGAGGGACTTCGTTTCAGATGTTATTATGACATTTTCACTCTATACTACCCTAGAAAAGTTGTCAAAATTTAGTTAGAGTATTGTTTTAGCTATTTTTGAACATTTTCAATAATTGGTAGCTACATAACCCGTTTATTTAAACACATGCGACCTTGAATTCGATCATTTAACTCCAATGATATTTCAAATATTGCGTGGCATGAAAAATAACATATATGAAGAGAAAGCTCCAAATTCCAAATAAAATAGTTGCAATATAAATTTAACTAGGTACGGCTGCTTTCCTATGGAATCCGTCTAAACATAAACAAGATCAAAGCGTCAAGATAGCACACACCGGAGAAGCAGCTAGCGATAGATAAGTAGGATCGTTCTGGCCGACATATTGATTGCTTAAATTTTCAGTCGTTTAATTTCACTTCTATGATCAAGCAGTTATGTTCACAATTTTTCACGAGATTTGTCAAAGATTTTTGAATAGACCAATTGATAGCACACAATCGAAACTAGTAATTTTACCATGGCAACATTGCCAGTAATTTGTATAATTATGTGACCACTAGATATGTAGTACTGTAGTAGATAATCTAGCCATGCACGTCTTGACCTTGAAGTATTTGTATGGAATAGTCATATGACATTAAATATAAAAAAAAAACGATTAATTTTTTTTACGTTGCATTTTGCACAGTTGTGGAAAAGTGTATGTAGAAGTGACAAAGCGTGCCAGAAATCCTTTTACATTTCTAACGCAGTGGTTCTTAACCTTTGCAAACGTGTCGAATCCCTACGTTATACTGGAGGATTCCGCCGAACCCCAACGTTTTGAACAGTCAAAACCTGGGGCGAAATTAAAACTTTACGAGCGGGAACATAAATTGCAACGAGAGAAGCAGAAAGATGCAAAAAGAAACGCATATCTGTGCAAAACTACACATAGCTAAGATGATTTTGCGTTGAAGTTTGAATACTGCTGTAAAATAAATGTTTTTTTGACATAATTTATAGGTTGGATAATAGAAATAATTTAATGATATACAAATTAGCGCTATAATAGTATTTGTGATGATTATGTCTTTACCGCTATGGTCTTGTATTTTATTTTCATCTAGTGATACATATATTCAGCAATTGTGCTTTTTTTATATTTATTTGTCCCCTAATGCCTTCCTGCCAATATTCATACACTAGTAATACATCGGCGAGTGAACAAGATTTCGAAGACTTTCTCAATAGAATTTCTATTCCATAGTCGTGAGATTGGAGAATTTTAGTGTAATAACAAAATACATCCTTTATTTATCATTTACCTGCAATAATTGGTCTATATCCAGTACATCTACATAGATTTCCTTGTAAACAGTTATCGATATCACTTGCCGACGGAATTTGGTTGTTACGCAATAATGCGTACATCGACATAACAATACCAGGAGTACAAAATCCACATTGTGATCCGTGAAACTTTGCCAACCTTTCTTGGATCTGATGAAGTTTTGTTTTTGTGCTGCCGATTCCTTCTACTGTTGTTACCGCACACCCGTGTACAGAAACCAGCGGTGCCAGACATGCATTCACTGCAAAGTGTCTGAAAGTAGATTGGATATTTTGCCATAAAACGCCCACAAAACTGCTGTAATTCACAGTACATCGAATAACATATTTAGGTGTTCACCTTGCCTTTTCTAAACTTTTCTCCCATTTTGATATCATGACAGTGCAAGCACCACACCCGCCTTCTCCACATCCAAGCTTGGAACCAGTGAGTCGAACTGAAAGCGTGATTTAGTTTCCTTTTTTTTATAGTATATAATAATATTTCAGATAACATTTTTATTCCAAAACAAAATAATGGTATACGTAGTGAAATTATTAGAGATAACGCCATCTAGTAATCTGAAATGTATTTTCATTTATCCTTTCAGTTGGTTTTCGTTGATAAGGTGTACGGGTATATGGCAGATTGTCTGCAACAGGCCTACACAACTTACGGCCCGCGGGCAGCATGTGGCCGCGAAAGTTTTTTATGCGACGCGCGAGGTGAACTAAAAATATTCGATTATGCGTACAAAATGTATGCGATTGAGGCTGAAAATCAATGTCAAGTGTAGATATTTTCATCGAAATTTCCAAATACTGATTCAAATAGCGTCCAAGTTGCCTACTGCCGTTCAATTTATTTCAGTACTTTTGTACCCGATTATTATGCATCGCCGTTTGTTGCATCATAATGTCTCGTGCGCCTTGCACGATAAATGTATGGAGTACATGCGATAGTGGCGTTTGTTTTCAGCATTTCTCAATAAAATCGCAATGACCGGAAACAAAGACTGAAAACGAACAATTGAATAAAATAGTCAAACAAATTTTTATTTGTGGTCGAAATATTCAAAACTACTCTGTCTAACATTATCGCAAAGTGGTGTCAGTTCCACTGTATAAAAAGAAAGCTTAAAAAGCTACTGGTATTAGCAAAAAATGTCCAGCTTGATCGGAAGCGCTCATACCTATGCGAGCATACCTTTTGATATTCAACATTAAAACAAACAACAAATAATTTTTGTGTGAACTGTGAAATGTAATAGTTCTCCAATTACGAAAAGCTTGTCGCAAACAAATGATGCAACATTTCTCACTACAGATTTGATTTGGTGTCGATTTGTTCATATGTTGCATTGTTTATACGTTATATACAGAACAATACATGATATTTTTTATACTGTAATAACGATAACTTGTAGCCCGTGAACAAATATTTTTCTGTTTTGCGGCCCTCAAGTTATTTTTAATTGTGCAGGCCTGGTCTAGATTCTAGAAGATCCTTATTCAAAGTAAAAATACCGGTGTCGTTGCATCAATTTTATAAAACACTTACGATTATTTCTTAAATAAGTAAGTAAGGTAGTTTCTGGGTCTGCGTTCTTTTCCATCACCTGAAACATTAATTTGAGGTACATCGGGGGGAATTGTAAAACAAACGATATAACAACAGGTAGAACATTATCGACACGTGTTTGGTGTACTGTCTATCATTTTATATATCCAACGTCTGTTATTTACAGAGCAATACTTGAGACCCGTTATCTATTTTCTTGTCGCTTGTATTTTATTTCGATATCGTCAGCTATAATAAGTTAATAATTCTGATAATCCACGACACTTGTGTACACAGCTACAATTAGGTCGCCAGAGTCGGTCTGATTTGAAGATAATTTGATGATTTGGGTAATTTTAATATTTTCAACCATTTTAACAATTCGTTACTTCTTACCTTCTTTCCATTAACGTAAAATATAAGAACGTCGGATTTCTCCGCTGACGCCATTTTCTCCAATATATGCTGTAATACCTGAAAAAGAGCATGTAAGGAGAGTTTATTTTATGCAAAAGTGTTTATGATACAAAATAGGAAAATAAGATGTTCATATTTATCCCATCAATTCGTTTCAGATGCATGGGCTTGATGGGGCAGTAACCGACCAGAGAGCACGTGGACCAATCAGCGTGTAGTAGGCTACCCCAGCAATCCTCTCGCACAAAATACACTCGTGGGATACGAACTTACCAATCCGCACAGGGTTATTATAGAGAGGCGACAGCAAGCCTGTAAATAACGCTTAGCAGTGTACGCTAACCGCGGATTACATTTACCATGTAAATTCATATAAGCATTATCACATCCATGTTCGGAACGACGACACATATTTTATTGCAAAACAAGTTATAAAAAATATGTGATAACTACGCAGCTATCTAATGAAGCTTTTTATAATTTCATTATTCTCGCGCAAGTATTGAGGCCACCTCTCGCTCGGCACTTTGAAGTCCACGTGAAAACATCGCCGAGCATTTTATAACTGCAGAGAAGGTGTGTCGGGGCGTCCTCCGTCGCCCAATGTATAGTATCAACCTGAGAGTGGAGGTCTTTATATTTCGTTACTATGTCCTAATTTATTCTATACAAATTTATATTCAAAGCAAAGCTGGTTTTGAAATATGAAGAAACAGTAATATATGGACTGAACGTAAAGTAAACTTTACTTATTTTAAGTGGAAAGAATACGACTGGATGTGAATATAGGGACTTCAGATTTTAAATATTAAAAAAAAAACTTACCTGCAACAAAATTCAGATTTTGGTGGAAAGATATATGTCTTAACCCATCAGTTTCTACATCCAAATACCGTTAACAAACTATTGTTAAAACTTATAACAGTCCATATCAGAGTCCTCATACCCCTTCTGCAAATATTTGCACAGCCTATTATAAAACAAAAAAACTTTTATGAGGAGCACTAAATGCTCCGTAACCGCGGTTACTATTTATCCCAGAAGTTTGCTGCAATGACCCAAGCGAGGTTAAGAACGTGTCTATTGATTCACAATCGTGTCATAGTCACTGAGGTGTATAGTCACAGTCCGATAATGTTTTAACAATATTTCGACCCGATTCGGACATGTTGGCTAATATTCCCTTGTATATGATATATATAAATTCAAATGCGGGATAATAAATAAAAAGCATCACTTTAGCACGAGGGAGACAATACGTGATATGAAAATCGTCATTATGCCAGTTATATATTAAATGTCCGAAGCGACTGTTTGTCACCAGTACGACAGTAGCCTATTATGGGGCAAATCCAGCCTTTCTTGAATTTATGGGTGTAAATGATATCGCGCGGTGACTACGTACAGGATGCATAGATTATAATGACTGCACTAATCCCGTAACGTAACCAATAAGAATATACACACATTGCCGTAACCAACTCCCTAAACCACCGCGCGTTTCTCCTCTTACATGTCCCGAACTATCTTCCACTCTCGTCTCTGCGTGCGCTTTCGCTCAGATGAGTCATTTTATCGTTTATACTGCCATTTATAATTGCATTTTAGTAATTTTTTATTCAGAAATATTGAAGATTAAAAGGGAATTTCAAGACAGGCTCTACAGTTGAAATATGGCAGGTATATTAGTCTAAAACTTCTAACACGACTACACTTTATATTTGCTGTCGCCACAGTTGAATTAATTTATATCAAATTAAGCTGAAACCTTGGAAAAGTCGAACGATGCTAACTTTACCAATTTAAAGCCAAAAGTTTTTGTTTAGGATCAAACATGACTGCGCTTGTTAGAATGAATGTTACATTGACAGGTTTTGATAACGTTTCAAACTTCAAACTTAGTATCGCATGCAAATTGCAAGCCCTTGCAAACTTTTGACTTCCCTACGAGATCCGTCGACTTTTGCTGAGCACGAGATCCACTGAGATGCGGAACCGCTACAGTTGATTTTATTTGTAATTTCGTTGACGTCACTACACAAAACCTAAAATAGAAAAACGAATCCCACAGAGCCCACATAATGGCCTTCTAGTGACGACAGCGATCTTTACCGACTGAAAATTTTAATAGAAGTGGTTCAGTAGTTTTTCCACAAGAGGAAGAAGAAAAGAAATACTAACAAGGATAAATAACAACATAATAACAAAACTATCCGTGGTACATTTCGTGGTAAAGACGTTTACGCTTCCATATAACAAAGTTAAAATTAAATACTTAGCCGAAGATTACGCAGTCAAACTAGAGCTGTTTATCTGTCTAAACTCCAAGTAATACCAAATCTGCTTATTCGCGCATGTACACACATGTACTAATTTTATCATTGTGTTTCGGAAGTTGTTATTTCACAATTTGTTATCTCGTCATGATTAATTGCGATTTTAATACACGAATATCACATTATATAATTGTGAATTTCCGGGTTTCTTACTTAATTGCTTAAATACATTTTCTACCTGCTTACGCTCTTATTTATCAGTAAAAAGAAACGATAAGTCAATGACGACATCGATATGACGACGCACGAATGCTATTACATAAAAATTTTGTATATGCCACAGCTTCATATTACATTAATTGTAGTTTACTGTCATATTTTGTGTTCCTAGTATATTTTGATATTCACTTTTTGATAGTTTTTATTTCAAAGAATTTCTCATATATATTACAAGCACTGACCAAATTTGTTGTTGGTATGGAATCGAATTTGAAAACTTAGTAAACGCTTAGGCATACGAAAAGTGATGATTCATATGAATGTGCTTCGGTTTCACCTCTAGTTTTTGTTATTTGAATAACGGTATAAATCCGTATGTGGATATTTACTATTTTACGTTCTGTCACGCACGTCTGTATGCTATTTAGTATTTGCAGTTTCGATTAATATTTTTTGAAAACATTAACATATCGTTGTTCTAAATCTAGATCAAGATAATGGTTTCTAACTGCTGGTTCGTGAAGAATTTTTGCCGGCCCGCGTGAAATTTCGTAGTTTTTTTTTCTGCCAGCGCAACGTTTGGTTGACGAAAGACGAAGTTACTTTGCTTTATTAGAAAATTTTCCATCCGTCGTAATATTGGGTTGGTATTAATTGCCCAGCCGATATCTTCGCCGGCGAATAATCACACTTTTCGCTTTCGTTCCACCGCATGTTTTAGTCTAAATTGTCCCCGCATGAAAGTGAATAAAGTTAAACGGGTGAGCCACGTTCGCCTGCCTAAAGTTAACGTCTCTCTCGCCCGCTTTCGGTTTTGCCTCGTACAGTACGGAGTGCTATAAATCCTCGATTTGTTAACTTTTTAAAGGTACATACATACAAGTTATGAGATTCTTTATACACAACAATATAGTACGAAGTCATGCTGGAAGTATAGTAACTTACACAGTTTTATCTCTCTTCTTTTCTCCTTGACACCACTATAATAGACGGGCTCCGCTGTAGATTTCCCCCACTATTCTGATTTATGGTGCTAGTTTTTACAATGGCGGCCAAAATCAGGGTACAAAATACTGAGTAAATGCTATAATGCAGTGGTCGGCAACCACCGGGCCGCGGCCCATTGTCGGTCCGCGGGAAGATTACTACCGGTCCGCAGAGAGGTGACACAAAAAACGTACAATGCCCTAATAGCATTGTTACCAGTATGTAAAGTCAGGTTTTCAAAATTGACAACTACAAAAACGAAATATTTAAGTAGGACGAACGTGAGAATCACGTTATACCTTTGTTTTTGAATGTATTGTTAACATAACTTTTCTAGTGCATATAATTTATTAAATTACATCAGTTCGTCTGTAATTTGTATAAAGGCGGTCCGCCAAAATTTTGGTCAGGCTTTACCGGTCCGTCACTGAAAAAAGGTTGCCGACCACTGCTATAATGCACGACAATCGATGGTGCCCTAAATATGCCACCATTTAACCATGTGATTACGCTTTCTCATCGGTCTTCATCTCTGTCAGGATAAATATGTGAATGTTATCCTAATGCTTACACACGGCTCTACCCTTACCTCACAGGCACAATAGCCACATGCATGATAATAATGGGATAAGGAAAAAAAAATTGCAGTCGGACGTCATCGGTGTTTTCGGAAGATTTTTCTAATCGGCGGAATTATGGTTTTTTTTCGGCAGTTTTTGGACACGTAGTGGACATAACGATCGTTTCAATATTATGTTGTTGTTGTTGTTCTTGTTCTTGTTCTTGTTCTTTGACACGTTTTTAAAAAGTCGCTTTTCTCTTTGATTACTGGACTAATTGCTTTGAAATTTTCAGTGGTTGAAGATGAAATTTTTCTCCAGAAGGCTATTACTTTTATTTATTTCAAATATTTCTGTTATCTCTGTAAGATTTGTTTTTGTTTGCTATGACGTCACTAAACGTTCTGCGGATATCGGACGCCATTTTGTGTCCAACGGACCATCTTGCAATTACAATTCACGCTGTCACAAGACAGGAGTTCTGGTACCGTAACACAGCGCGGTGACACTGAACTAACTCGTAGCTGTCAAAAGCTTGAAAATCCATACAAATATGAGAAATAAAAAGATGAAACTTGGCAGGTGGGTAGAGTTGCGTTTCTTTTAACCATATTTGAAAGTTTCGCGTTTCTACATTTGAAGGAGAGGGAATAGGGGGTGTGCATTTCCGATACGTCGATAATATCTTTGTCAACCAATTTACGGCCACCGTGTTTTCGTCTGTTTGATTGCTGTTATGTGGTGCTTTGTTTATAATTTAACGAGTTTTGTTCGAAATAACCGTGTTCTTGAAATATATGACGGTCAGAAATGCAATTAGAAGCCCAATGTTTTCACGCTGTCACAAGACCAACAATTTGCGACCACCGTGTTTTGTCTGTTTGATTGCTGTATGGCTGCGTATGCGATAGTCTCGACACAGCATAAACGATGATCAAGGCTTGAAATCCGTGGTCGCACACTGGTCGTTCGGTCGCAAATACGTCTTTCGAGTGCCGTACTTTGGGGATTTGTATAGCTTCAACCCTTTGTCGTAGAAAGTTGATACGAGGTTTAGCGTGTAGAATAAATGCCGCCAATGCACCCACGGTGAAAAAATTAACGGGTTAGATATATTGGTTTTTGTTTTATAGCGGTTTGAATGAAATTGTCCGCAGACTGGCTACACCACCCTAGGCCTGGTGAGTTGTCCGTGTAGTCGAATTGTCCATCAGCCCTAAACGGCTATGACAGTCACTGTACCAAAAATTGTACCCCGATTCGGCTGGTGTTAAGTTGACGCATGTTATTTAGTAACGTTTTTATCTGAAATGTTTGACTGTGGTTCGGTACCTGATCCGATAATACGGTACATAATTGACTCATATCACGAGATATTTCAACTGATGTTTCAATTGTCACAGGACCTAAAATATCTATGACAGTCCCTGTATCGTCACGGTACCCCGATACAGGTACTGGTGAGTCACCGCCGGTATGTTAGTCGTTGGTCACCGCATATGATTTTTGGGGAATTGTTCTGCGTATCCATATATTTGAGCATTGCTCTCTTGTTGTTATTTGTCTCCGTCTCCATTTTTAAAAAATCGCTTTTCTCTTCGAATACTGGACCAATTGCTTTGATATTTTCAGTGGTTAAAGATAAAATTTTTCTCCAGAAGGCTATTACTTTTTTTTTCGCTATGACGTCATCAAAATTATTGCCACTGGGCTACGTGTCCATATATTTGAGCATAGCTCTCTTGTGGTATAAGTACCTTTGTTCTGTCCGTATTTCACGCCTATTCGATCGATTTATCTGAAAGGTGTTCGAGGCAAGTTTAGTTTTCTCAACTCAAACGGATATAACTCAGAAGACGTTTATTTCAATTAGCGTAAATAGCCAAGGCAGACAGACCTAATACCGCACATTAGATGCATGTTGGATATCACTTTGGAACGTTGCTCTAGTATTGCTGGCTAGCACTACTAGACATAACTCAATTTCTTCTGAAATCCCCGGGCTCAACTAGATGCAAAGCCCAATAAACAAAATCCATTTTACTTCATCTTCAGAAACGAACTTTTTGAAGTTTGTAATTGGGCGAATGAATCAACCAGTGTCGGGCAAATCAGAGATAACACTCGGGCTAGGAAATTCGAATAAGTTCAGACAAAAATTTCGAATCGCCGCCACATTTTTACAATGCAATTATGACATAAGACACTTTTCCCAGCGAGTTATTGATGAAATATGTTTTTCATTGTATGTGAAATTTTGGTGTCCGAAGAATCCATTACCATTAATTATCACTCATCTTACAAGTATTCGAAATTTGATCCTAAAATCATTCGACCCTAGTCCCCATTTATTAAATACTCAACGATCTAAATGAAATAACCCCGATTCCACTAACCAGTGAGACTTATCTCAGTGATTCGTTAGGA